CTCTTGTGAAGACTGAACAGGTTCAGGTCCTGTAGCTTCTCCTCGTAGGGTCTGCCCTGCTGCCCCCTGATCATGCGGGTGGCCCTCCTCTGGAATCTCTCCATGCAGGCCACATCCTTCCTGAAGTGCGGCGCCCAGAACTGGACGCAGTACTCTACCTGCAGCCTGACCAGTGTCACGTAGAGGGGGAGGATCACCTCCCTGGGCCTGTTTGTGATGCATCTGTGGCTGCATAACAAGGTATGGTTAGCGCTACTGACTGTGTTCTCACATTGTTGGCCCATGTTCATCTTGGAATCAATAATGACTCCAAGATTTCTTTCTGCCACTGTGCTTTCAAGAAGGGAGTTTCCCAGCCTGTAGGTACGCTGCTGGTTCCTACTGCCCAAGTGCAGCACCTTGTACTTGTCAGTGTTGAATCCCATCCTATTCTCATTTGCCCACCCCTGTAACCTGTCCAGGTCCTGCTGTAATCTGTCCTTCCCTTCTAGTGTGCCCACCTCACCCCAAATCTTGGTGTCGTCTGCGAATTTAAACAGGCTGCTCTTCACCCCGTTGTCCAAGTCGCTAATAAAGAAATTGAACAGTGCAGGCCCGAGGACCGAGCCCTGGGGGACCCCACTGCTCACTTCCCTCCAGGTCGAATATGACCCGGCCACCACCACTCTCTGAGTATGACCTCTCAGCCAATTTGCGACCCTTCTGACTGTGTAGGCATCAATGCCACAGCTGCCTAGCTTTTTAATGAGGATGGGGTGGGAGACAGTGTCAAAGGCCTTGCTGAAGACTACATCCACCACGATACCTGTGTCCAATGATTTTGTGACCTGATCGTAGAAGGCAATCAGGTTGGTTTGACATGACCTGCCCCTAATGAACCCATGCTGGTTGCCCTTGAGTGTGCAAATGTTTTGCCCAGCAGGCCAGCTGGACAGTGCCATGACAGTCTGCAGGTCAGATCTGGATGATGGTCCTGATCTAGTGTCCAGGGAAAATGTCGTAGGCCACCTTAAGGGTGGGAATGGGGGAAGGGGTCCAACCTGGCCCCGATCCCACTGTGCAGTGGAAGGGGGTTTGGCTTGGCATGGAGGAAGGGGGTGTGGCCCAGCCCTAATCCAGCCACACAGGGGAATGGCTGGCTCTGATCTGCCAAGCAGGGCATGGGAATTTGGCAGAGAGTCCACATAAGAGGTTAATATACCAGCTAGAGGGTTTAGTCTGCTAACTCAGTCAGCAGCGGCCCATGCAGTCAGCCCAGGGGGTCTCTGATTCAAACCTTGCCGATGGCTTGAGTGGAGCTGGCTGCACCCACTTCTGCTCTAGCTGAGTTAAGTGCCAATTATTTGCCTTGATGTATCTGCTGTACTGCAGGAAACATGGAAGTAAGCACTGAGATACACTGGAACGGTAATGTCCCTTCAAAGAGTGCTTTCCCCAGCATCTCTATTTGCCTCTGCAAAGGGCGACATGCAGCTGGCTGGTAGTAATACAATCTTAACACAAGAACCGAACGCAGTGGGTGCCGCGTGCTGCCAAAGAAAACAATGCATCACAGAGAATAGCTATTCCCACTGAAGTGACAGTTAACTAAAAACAGCTAATCTACTAAAATTAACTGCACTCAGCTTAGGTTTTCAACGCTACAGTGACAGCACAGCAGAGTCAACAAGTAGCGGGTGATCAGGGGAATAAAAGCAGGTATTTTGTTTTAAATTGTGAGCATCCTAATAACTCTCAATGGGAAAAACTCAAGCTCCTTGTTACTTCCCCTTGATGTATTCAATAAAGGTTACATTATAGCTGCATCCCTGTATTTGGTGACACTGAGTTGACGGGCATTAGCTTGTTGTGTTTTGTAATTGGGATTAGCTGGATGTCTTAGAGATGCACCCCACTTCTCCTACAAGCTGCAGGATGCAACACTGTTCACTGATGTGACAGAAATGAATTATTCCAGGAATCTGTGGGTGAAACTCTTATCACCTGTGCAACGTGGGAGGCCTAACTATATCGATCCTTTGATCCTCATACTCGGTAGGGTTTGGGTTCAAGATAAAGCCTATCTGCATACACATTGGGGGGGTCTTATTCCAGTCCCGTATGGGTGCCCACCAAGTCAGAGGACTGCCTGGAGTCGAAATCTGAACTTGCATTCAAAAAAATGTCATTTCAATATTTCGTTCCAATTCAGGGCAAAAAAGCATTTTCAAAATGCCTAAATAAATGCATTTCCAGTGCATTTGGGATACACCAGATGCCTTCCCTTCCAGGCAGCTGTGACTGTCAGGCGAGGGTGCAGGTTTGACTTCCAGCCCTGGCAGGGGTTTCCAGGGAAAGGTGGCAGGTGCCGGAGCTGCATGCTGGTTTGGGGGCATTTTTGGACCCTTGCAGGATTTGCCAAGGGAACTGAAATTGCAGGGCAATAAATGTATTGCTCTTGGGTTAATGAAAACAAAGCCAACCCACCCTTTCCTTGACCGGATGGTTTGTACAAAGCAACAGAAAATTCCCTGCTTCTGTGGTCTCCCAAACAATGCCTTTTCTCCTATTTCCTTAAGTACTTGCCATTTGACCAGTTTTCCCTCTTTTGATATGCACCATTGAGGACAATCTTGCATCAGCAGCGGACGGTCTGCTTGGCCAACTTCATTAGATTCCAGTTTGTGGTCCTTATTTTTAAATAATTTTTAATAATAATTCCTTATTTGGAAAATACGCTGTTGTTAATTTTTTTAATGTAGCCTTATGTGTAGGATGGATGCTAAATATGAACATAATGTGAAATGGCAGCAGAGATATTGTTGCACTTGGGGTCTCATTTGAATCCTGTTCCCCCCAGAGGTGGCACAGTCACCCACCTTCAAAAAGCAGTTTGACGCCCACCTTGCTGGAGTCTTTGCTGCCCAGGTGCAGGGAGGATGGACCCGATGATCTGTCAGGTCCCTTCCAGCCTCTAGCATCTATGAAACAACTATGACATGTTTAATGGGAGAGAAATTCCTGTGTTTGGCCCATTCTATTCATACCCCTTTTCCGTCTTGAACTTTGGAGTGGGTCGCCTCTCCCTCTCACTTGGGACACGCTTGTAAAGTTGAGCTGAACAACTCTGTGAGCCTGGAAGGAATGGCAAAAGAAGAAAAGAAGAGCAAAGCCTGCACCTTTTCCACCCCCGGTAGCCAACTGCTTCATTAAAAGAAAATAACCTCTGTTGCAAGGTGCCTGCCATGACGGATGAGGTAGATATCAGCAGTAATTATGAGTTGGTGTCTACTTAGTGAACTGTTCTTTTTCTTTTCTTGAGGCGAGCATCCCTTCAGCCAAGGTCAAATCCCCCCAATGTTTTTATCTTCAGGCAACAAGGATAATATCCCGTCTCCCCCGGTGAGCCTGCACAGACAACTTGCTAGTGTCACTTAGCTCAGGAGCCTTTTGAAAAGCAGGGGTGGGAAGCAACCAGAAAAAAAAGGACTTTTAAATTCAGAAGAGAACAACATGTCAAAATTCCTTAAACCATGATAAATGTACCAAAAGCATCCAGCTCTTTCTCAGCAGCGGTGAGTGATGGTGATTTATGACTGGAGATTTTTCTTAAGCAAGTGGTTTTCAGAGAGAAAAAAAAGAAAGGTCACCGCAACTTAGGCCTTACATAGCTTATCTTGTTCTCTGCAGTCTGCTATTCCCTTTGAACTAGTCAGTGTGAGATGAGTGTGTCTGCTCTGGGGGAATGGCCATTAATAATCATCATCATCATCATCATCATCACCACCAATGGAGGAAAAAAAAATAGACCCACACAAATAGCCGAAAGGATGGTGGCTGTGGACTCTCTGATACCAGCTTATAGATAAATGTAATGGGTCACAGATGGGAAAAACCAATGCAATCAGGCAAAAACAGCTGATCCCTAAACAAAGCAACAAAGAGCAAATCCAGGAAGCCCGATGGAAAAATGCCAGGAGAGGGCAATCTGCGCCGTGTCGAGCAGAGCCGCGGGTCAATCATTTATACTTAGCCACGACCAGACAGCCCCGATGGCATTTTCTGTAGCAGATGAGAGTCTTGGTGGAGGTGCGGGAGTGGAAAAAAACTTTTCCAGCCAGCAGCCCTGTCCTGCTCGCCACAGATAACAGCATCCGGAGAGCTGCTGTCTCCGCGGTGCCTTCCTAGGTTGTCTGGCTTGACTTCTGATGACAGCTGCAGGAGGAGATGGGAGGAAAACATCAGAAGCACTTTGGTGCCATCCTCCTGATTTCTGCAAGGCCTCTGGTTCAGTCCAGAGGGGAAACCCTGTCAACTGAGGCTTTTCAGAGAGCCATCTAGTACAGCCTGGAGGCTGCCAACACGTTTCCAAGGATTGCAACTCCTCCGCCCTTCCCATATTGCTCAATGAAAGGGCTCCTGGCTGTATCAGAGGAGGATGCCTTGTCAGTGGGGAACTAGTACAGAAGTGTGTGTGTATGTTGGGGAATTTAGGGCAAATTACAGGAAATTGGAGAATTCTGGCCTAGGAACTTGGATTCACAGCTTCTGCTGGGAATTGTACGTACAGGTCTTTTAGGCAATGTGGGACATCTCAAGCACAAAGCAGAATTCAAGCGCTGAGGACAGCACATGGTTGTCCAGATAACACTGATTTTTAACTTCATTGGTCCCTTGATGCTATGCTGGCTCCCTGAGCAGGGGTGAATCCCACTCCATAGGTAAAGGGGCAGCTCACAGTCAGTAGTAGGGTCCTGTTTTCTACCCTTGGGAACACTGTGAATGCACTGAGCCAAGCTTGCTGAGAAGGAGGAATGGGCAATGCAGAATAGGACAGGCAAGAAACCATAGGATGATTTGAGAGGTCCACAGAGATGGGCACATCTCACCAAAGGGAGAATCTTTTATGATAAGCTCCAGGAGCACTGTTTTAGACTTAAGAAAAAAAACCCCACAGGGCTAAAGCAAGTGGAGACAAGGAGGGGTTGCCATGAAGAGAACTGATTGCTTTTCTTACACAGGCCTGATCTGGGGAAGGAACTGGGCGTGTTAGCAACGGAGGGACTGGCAGTGATGGGCTGAAGGAAAACACAAGGCCACAACATCTGCTTCCGACCCAAACATCTATGAATCTATAAAACATATGTAAGTAACTAGTAAGGATGTAGATCCAGCATTGTTTTGCATTAGAAGCCTGGGATTCCCATTCGAATTAAACTGCACTGAGATTTGCAGGAAGCATGATCATGATTACCTTAGGTTAGATATTAGGAAAAACTTTCTCACTAGGAGGGTGGTGAAGCACTGTGCCAGGTTGCCTAGAGAGGTGGTGGAGTCTCCATCTTTGGAGGTTTTTAAGCCCCGGCTAGACAAAGCCTTGGCTGGGGTGATGTAGTTGGGGCTGGTCCTGCTTGGAGCAGGGGGCTGGACTAGATATGACCTCCTGAGGTCCCTTCCAGCCCTCATTTTCTACGATTCTAGGACTGGTTGCATCCAAAAGAGAAAGGAAAAAGGAGGTAGGTACATCCTAGATGGGATCGGATCCCCCAGCGCTGGAGTGGCGACGGCGTGTCTCTCCTCCTGAGGCATAGATATTGTTTCGGCATTGAACATGGGTTCATTTGTGCAGTACCCTAAGAAAGTCATCTCACCCAAATCGATCCTAACTTAGACAAATACACAAAGAGGCCGGATGACTGGATTATTAAAGATGAGAAGCAGAGGTGGGTTTAGAGGAAGGATTGCAAGGAGAGAGTGAGCACTTCAGGACAGGTTGCAATGCAAAGTATCTAAGGTGCCAGGGGAAGCAAATGATAAGGCATCAATCTTTCAATGAAAACTATGTCAAAAGAAGACTGTAATGGGAACCGGTCCAGGCAGTGTGGGGAGAAGTGCATCCCAGCTGCCTCTGGCCCAGGACAGCTTCTGGCGTGGAGAGTTAAGAGCATCCAGGAACTGCTGCACGGTGGGCCTCTCTGGTGGGGAAGCAGGCTGCCACCAGGAGGGATGCATGGACAGGCTTCCCCTCACCCCGGCAGGAGTACTGCCACCAGCCTGTGCCCAGGTTGGTGCTGCTGGAAGCACCGGACCCACCACGTAGAGAGTGGATGACAGGGACCCTAGACAGCAGGCACAAGATAAATGCAATCTTTTTTCTTTAATCCTTACTATTGATTTAATAGTTATACACTCTGGGCAGGAAGCCCAGGGCCTGGGGAAAAGCTCTAATTCCAGAGGCAAGCCTCAGGCCAGCTGCCTGGGAAGGTCAGGGTCCGGATGGGTGAATCTTCGGCTGACCCTCTGCAGCTAGAGTAACAGGAGTCAGGGGGTAGCCGTACACCTGACCCAACACACCCAGCAATGCCCCTCTGGGCATGCCACGACTATTAAATTGAGTAAATTGAGGGAACTGAGAAGCATTTAGGGAGAGGAAGCATATGAGAGTTTACAGGGAGAGGCAAAAGAGGCAGGGAGAGATCCAGAGCCATATCGGGGAGATCAGGGAAGTAGCATGCGGTAGATCTGCCCCCAGATTCTTCAATGGCAGAATTTGCCTTAAGAAAATGCAGTTTCCTGAAAACCAAACTTTTTCATGGGAGTTTGCAGCTTTCCACAAGTGTTGGGATAGAAGAGCGTTAAACCCAAAGTGCTGTAGATTCCTGGTTTCTTTTCCAGAATGTCAAAACCTCATTACAATTAAGTAAAAATGCTTTGTTTCCTTTAATTGTACTCCTTTCTCTTCCGCTAATGTTTTGCAACTTCTTCTTCTTCCTGTGTCATTGTCATAAACTAGATGTTTTCCAGAATCATGCACTAGCGATGGCTCTTTCCATTGCTGCAGTGAGGTCTTCCTTCGTATAGGTCTTACCAAGGCATTGGCAAACAAGGAGGTGATCCATGGTCTGTACTTCACCACACTTGCATGCATTCGTGTCATTAGAGTAGCCCCATTTGATCAGGTTTGTTTTTGATCTTGGTTTTGACATCGATGAAAGAAAACATTTGAATGGGTCTGGATGGGTGCTTCTCAAAATTTCTGCTCTTTGAAGGCATTTGAAAGGTTGGTGTTTTGTTCTGAAACCAACATCCAGAGCGTCAGGTCTCCCTGCAAAACCCCATTTTCTGATTAGTTTTAGGACACACATGCAAACTTGGTGATTGCACCTTGGTATCCCCATGAACTGGGCAATCAGAGTCTAATGTACATTATCTGCACGAAGATGGGTCAAAGGAGCCTACAGCAGCTGTTTGCCCCAGCATCCAAAGTGAGCAACCCCAATTTGCAGGGTTGGCAGTAGCAAACCCAAGTCCTCTGCCTTGCAAAGCTACTAGGCTGGAGCCCCTCATATCTGTTTTACTGCATCCTTCTCTGGGCCTTGGCTTGGTTTCCTGGTCTGCCCTAGTGTCCCTTGGGGCTATGGATTTGAGGTGAGGCCACTACAGTGATCTCGTGAGGCCCCTTCCAACCCTAACTTTCTATAAAGGCAGGAAGAAGGAGCTTAGAGATCCTGCTAGGTTCTGTGATGTAGCTAGTTGGTAGGATTGGGCTTCATAGTGGGCTTGGGAGCAACCTGAGGTTGACACATGCTCCATCATAATACCTTTGGGAGTTTTTCTCCAGGCCAGAACAACACTAGTGCATGCTCCTAGCTGCACGGAGAAGAGCCACAGCTGCAGAGTAGAATCAACTGAAACATTTTCAGGGCATCTTTTTACTGAAAAAGTTTCCACTTTCGGCCACCCCTTCCCCAAACCAACAGATTTTTGGAAGCAGTGGGTTTTTGTTGAAAACCATAACAAAAATTCAATACGGCTATTTAAAATAAATATTTTATAGAAAATATTCCTTTTCCCCCACTGCTTCTTTTTAAGCGGCTTGAATGTTCAAGAAGCAGAAATGGCTTTTGCTCTTTTTTTCATCTCAATAAAAATAGGGATTGCAGTCCCCATTGCCATTGTCTCTTTAGGCCGGCCGCATGGATCTGAAAATGGCTTTTTGTAGAGTAAAAGAAATCCTTTAGCTCCCCAAAGGGCTGGTGTTAGTGCTGCTACTGCTCAGCTAGTGCTATGCAGTGGCGAGTGACATCTTTGGGACTCCAGGTGGTAATAATACACAGCTCTTCACTATCTGTCTTTATCAACAGATCTCAAAGTACTGTATTAAAGAAGCAAGTATTATCTCCACTTTGCAGATGGGGAAACTGAGGCATGGGGAGGTGATGTGCTCCCTTATCAAGCCATTGGCAAAGCCAGGAAAGGAACTGGCTCTGTGCTTCTGATTCTAGCTACTAGACGGCCATCATGCATATATACGGGTCATTTCACTGCCATCAGACTGAAGAGAGTCTTTCCCCCGTGCCCTTCTCTAGGCATCCAGCCTTAATCAGGTCCATCCATGACTGAAACAAACTGAAACAGCCCTTCCTGCTCCAAATGCCAGTTTGAGAGCGAATGAAAAAATCAAAATGAGCTCACCCATTAGCATTTCTGAGAGGGGATATTGCTGTGCAACGATGAATCAGTTTGTTTGGGTTTAAATGGTTAATTACTGACATTACTGTCCACTTAGCTGCATTAGGGGAAAAAAATGTAACAACTCTCCCTGCCAGAAGGCTGCTTCACATAATGTATTGCTGTGTTGATGGGTTTGAATAGCTTACAAATATTGATTGGGACAGAAAAGAGAAGGGGAAAAAAACCCCAGAAGGCTCTTGAATGGCACATAAAAATAGCAAAGGCAGCAGATCTGCTCCAGTGGGGAATTGAACTCCTGTCCTCAGAAACTCTCCTAGTGATGTTTCTAAATTACTGGGACAATTTTAGTAAGAGCTGATGTGCAAGCAAAATAACCAGTCCCTTTATCTTCCACACCCATGTTTCTCTCCCTGGGTCAGGACCGATGGGAGAATCAGCTGATCAGCAACTCATCCTGGCAACTTGGGCATGGGGGGAGCTCTGATATAAAGGCAAAAGGCAGCATCTGTCTGGTTGAACGTGTCTGCTGTGTGGCTGCCTTGGGGATGAGTTTGTTCATTGGGGCTTTCGGGCTTTTTAGACATCTTCAAGTCTGTTGTTGGAATTCACACAAATGGAGGCCGATACGTAGGTACGTGGCCTCAGCTCAGCCAAAAGTGTCGTTAACTACTCACATGATGACAGTGTCGGTGAGCTTCTGGGGGCGGGGGGGGAGGAGTGGATTTGGGGAGATGCACACAAGCAGGATGCAGCGTGTAGGATTACAGGGCATTGGCTTGGGAATCAAGTGAGCTGGGATCTGATCTCAGCCCTTCCATTGATTGACAGGTGGTGGGATCTAGTGCCAGCGACATGTCTTCTTTGTGCCTTTGTCTCCCATCTAATGCTTGACTATCTATGCCAGGGGCGGGCAATTATTTGGGCTTGCAGGCCACATAGGGAGTTCTGCAGAGCTATGGGAGGGTGGGTCAGCACCCTCTCTCCCCTCACCATGCAACAGCTGACCAAAATTGTGTATGAAGGATGCGGCTGCAGGCAGATGGGGAGCAGTGTTTGGGACTGGGACAGTTGGGTGAGGGTGGGGTCGTGGGGTGGTGACAGTGTGGGGCTGGGGGCTGGGGCAGGGCTGCAATCCAATGCCCACACGGCCCTGCGATGGGCACAGGTTGCACAGGCAAGGGTGTGCAGAGAGTGGATTGTGGCTCTGCTCTGGGCCCTAGTCCTGCGCTGTCACCACCCCAAGATCCCAAGTTTCAATATATGAAACTATGGATCCCAGCCCTGGGATACATCTCCCTGCCTGCCTGCAGCCCCATCCCATCCGCCTGGCCATGCATCCTGCCCACACGGCTCCAGGCCAGTCTCTGCAGAGACCTTGGGATTGAGGGGCAGTGGGAGAACTGCGATCCACTCCCCATATGTCCCTGCCCATGGAACCAGCACCTGTTGCAAGGCCATGCAGCAGCAGATCATAGCTCTTCCCCAGGCCCCGGCCTCGCGCTGTCACCACCTCAAGATCCCAGGGTCTCCCCAGCCCTGCCCACCTATCTCACTCCTGGATGCCACTCCTCACCTGCCTAGCCACTGGGGCAGGTCTGGCAGCAGCAGCTGGAAGGAGCTGCCACTACCAGGGCTACGAGGAAATGGAGTTCAGCCTCTGTGCCACTCTA